AAATCAGTTAAATGCTCAACGTTTACCAGAACAATTGAAGAGAATATCTACTTAAACATAGCATATTGCATGTTATTGTATATTGAAAGATACAAGATCTTAAGAAGTTTGTATTTTGTATTTGAGCATTTTTATGATTGGTTATCTCCCTATTATATGTCAATAAGTAACTAGTAAGAAATCCTAGCCTTTATACCTAAGCTATATTTAGCAATATAGCTGAAAAAGGCATCACATTATAAGTGTTTCAGATCAGTTCATATCAAAACATCACTATCTGAATAGCCTTTTTCTGACTCTCAATCATACAAAATAAAATTAATCTAGAGCCACAAAAAATTCTAGTTGTTTGAAAGGTGGATGAACCTTTTTTCACCCGTAATGTATGTTTTAAGGTTTGAACCCTAAACAAAGAAATTGAGAACAAATTCATCCTGTATCTATGACCAAGATGGAAAAAAGCTAATAGTTTACAAGTATAAAATCAAACAGAACAAAATGACAAGAACTGGGCAGCGCCTGATTTGACCCGAAGCTATTCAGGTTTTTACATTTCTTCAGTATATCTTCAAGTTAATTTTGTTAAATGTTGTTTCTTTTGAAGTAAATCAGATGACGACGATCACTGCGTTTGACGTCGTCGATGATCTGTGTCCTGCAGATAAAGACTAGTTTAATAAACAAATCGAAAAATCCTCTGATTTTGTAACGTATCACCAATGTGGTTGTGAAAATGACTTCCTGCCAGCAATAATAGTAGCTACTGTTAGTGTGGCTGGTTTGGCAAACCATGGAGCCAGATGTTAATTAACCTCTGCCAGCTCCTCATCCATCACTGGCTCAGCCCTTCCATTGTTTCCATTGTTTCCCGGCACAGCACAGTCACCTGAGGATTATGTCCTCCCTCCTTTTCCTCCACTGCCATTTTTCTCTCTTCGCTCCTATTTCAACTGCCGCTTCTGCTGCTCCTTAGATTTAAATATTAAATTAGGATTAACATCCAGCTGGAGAAGTGAGCAGTTTAAAAAGATTTACTCCTTTATTCCGGGTTGTTTATCTGGATGTGATCACACTACTGAAGTGACGTTCATGAACCATCCGGTTCTTTTGAACGGCCCTTTCCTCTGACAGGAAAATTTCAATTGACAAGGTGTAGCCGTGCCACAGTTTTAAGCTTAAAATCATGTCTGACTAATTGACTTTCACGTGCAGAAGAAATGACTTCCAAATGACGTTTGATTATGAAACCTTTCCAGGAACCAGTCCTCTAAAAGAGTGAAGACGTCATTTGAGTAGAAGACAGGTTTTAGAGTAATTGTTCTTATTTCAAGTTTTCCACGGATCAATGGTAAAATAATCCATGTAAACCTCGTGTCTAACCACTTTTCAATGTTTTAAGCATCAGAAAAAGATTTACAGAGTCACTAAAATGTGAAGTGGTTTGGAAAGAAAAAGAACAAAAAAAAGAAGAAACATCATGACAAGGTCAAACGTTTCCCTGTTTTTGAACAACGGCTTTAATGTTCCTGATAAACTAATATTTAAAATGTTTAGGAATATGTCTGGAAAACACATAGAAACAGGTCCGATGGATGATTTAGAAGAAAAATCTCGGCCTCTCCATACATCACCTCGCACAAGCAAATGTTTTCTTTTTCATTTGCATCATCGTTTTCCATAATATGCTGTGAATATGAGTATTCACCATCTGGCTGTAACTGAGGAACATTTTCTAATAAATGTCCTTCTCTGACCTCATAAAAATGTACATAAAATAAAATGTGTTAATTTTATTTGTCCTATTTCAACTTTGTTGAGAAAAAACAAATAAAAAAAATAAAACCTTTTCGAAATGAAAATTGGATGTGAATATAATTTACCCACTTATTATACCACCGAGCCAGAATCATGAGCAGCATTTACGTGATAAATAGACTCAAAACTGTAAAGTGCAGAATATCCACGGGCAATGACAGCGGTTTTATTTTTGCCCACCTAGTCTTATTTTTCTGGGAATATTGATTCTAACAGGCTGCTTTGAAGGAGCGAGTGGCTTGCAGAAATAACTAACAAATGGGCACATGGCTCCTCTTGGCATGACCAATTCTGCATAAGCAGTTCGTTTCAGTGCAGACTGTGGCTGCTAGCAGGCTGTAACTTTCACATTGTCTATGCATGTGCATGTGTGTGTGTTTTATGTCTGTAAAAAAAAAAAAAAAAAAAAAGTGGAGCCAGAGACAAATACTGGAATCCAGAAGCTTAAATTATTTCCCACTGCATAGTGTAAATTTGTAGATGAATTAAACAATTGTTTCTCATCAATCTCACATTTGTTCAAATGAAAATATTTAGATTAAATTCAAGGTTCAGCATATTTATGCACTTTAATCACAGTTATTCAGTAGGTATTAAAATTGACAAAGCATGTTTTCTTAACTGCTCCTCACAAAACAAACCTTTAATTTGCATGCTTTTCAGAGTAAGACCAATGATCTCTGATTATTAAGACTTTACTCTTGTAACTTCATTTTTATTTATTTTTCTTAACATGGCCCTACTAACTCATACATTCCGCCAAATGGTAAAATAGTTTTTATCTCACAAAAATCCAGATGACTGCATGGAGTCACATCTGTTGAGTCTATTTGGAGGTTTAAGAAACTGATTCCAGGTGTGGGTTTTTATAATAATAACATTTAATTGCAGCAGTCATGCCTATAGTGGTTTTATCTAGTTGAGAAACATGGTTAAACATATGACGTTTGATGCATTCTCTGTATCTTGTGGACTTTGACTGACTGTTGGGCAAGTGGTGCTGCCTTAGCACGATGCCATCTGCTTTCCATTAACCGTAGAATTATGCAATGAAATTTCAGTAATATGTTCGTTTAATGGAAACGCTCCAATAAAAAAAAAAAAAAAGGAAAAAAAAACCCATGTTTTTCAATAAAAAGATATTTGCTCACATGAGGAGATTTTCAATCATATGGAAGTGGATGTATTTCGTAAAAAATGTAATGTGAAATTGTGTTTTTTGTTTTCCCAACATTAGCAGTATTGCTAATGTCTGAAAAAATCCGCCACAGAATAACAAATATTTGCGCACATTGTTCATCCAGATCAGAAGGACTTTACAGGAACTTTCTAGAAACTTAGCTTTGTCATCTTGTATAATAGTTACATACTGATTGACAGAAAGGACTGAAACCACACTGGCTGAAGCTTTGACACAGAACATTCAGTGTATGTTGTGTTTTTCCTTTATGTGCAGCAGAATGTGTAGGCTAGGCAAATGCATGTTTCTGCTCTGCTTTCATCTGCCTCTGCAGAAGAGTGTGTTTCTGTGCATTCACAAACACTTTCTGTTTGGATTGATGAACACTTTAAAGCTGGGTGTGTGCATGCGTGTGTGTGTGTGTCGCCCATGAGGAGCAGCCTGGGGGGGAAGCTAACATGCTGTAATCGAGCCAAGCAATGAGCCAGGATCACTATTAGGATCCACTGGGAAATAACATGTAAAGAACCATCCTGCAGTGTGGGGGCGAATCCGGGGAAATAAGCCAACGCTGGTGTAAAACTGTCATCTCCCTGAACACATGCCACCGCTTCTGCTGTGCTCATATACCTCCGGATGCATGGAGAACTTTCTTTGGCACACACCTGCTCATCTTAAGTTTTTTCTTTGCTGAACACACACACACACGCACCCAAGTTGAAATAAGTGTGAAACACAGCGAGTATCATTCCCCTCAGTGTCTTTTTTGCTCTCTCACGCACACAAACAGTCCTCTCCTGAGGCTCTGCTCGTCTGGCCTCAACATCTGCTTTTACAGTACCATCACATCTGCTGCTGCCAGGGTGACACCGACGGATGTGATGCGTTTGTTGATCTGTTGTCACTGGATACATGAGCTTAGTGCGGTGGTGGGTGGTGCTTGTCAGCATGCAAAACTTTACAGATTTTTTTTTAGACAAAAATCTGGAAAAGTATTCTGGTTCGTCACATAAAATCCGAGTAAAACTCATCAAAGTTTGTGATTCTGAAGTGACTAAACGTGGAAGCTGTAAAGTCTTGATAGATTTTTAATTTATAAACTTGAGAACACTGCAAAAAAAAAAAAAAGAAGTCGGGTTCAATAAGCCGGGACGTTGAGATGAAATTCTAAAGCAACAGCATTAGCAGTTTTATTCCAAAGGCTCCATCATGGAGCAGGTCGTGGAGTTCAGACCCGACATCACGGCTGAATAAAGAAAGTTCAGTTTCTCACAGAGGGGGAGGGAGGGGACGATACCTTCAGTCAGACGTATCCACTGCTGTATTCGTTGGAGAATGACTCAAACTACAGCATGCTGCCATCGTCATGGCCACTTAATGGAAATGTCAGCAGTGAAATGATTTTTATTTCAATATTAAAAAAGAGATATAGATATAGTAAGAGATGCAGTTTTTTTCAGTTTATTTCTACAATATTTCCACTGAGAATGACACTGAAAGTACTAGTCATGCTTTTACATCTGTTAATGTGGTTGGAATATGCTTTTTTATTGTTATTTTTTATGATTTTCTGTACTACAGAAAAAAAATCAAGATAATTTTTTGATCTTTATTTTTAAGTCCTAAAAATATTGAAAGGACATGTTTTTCTCTTTATAACAGAAAATTTCCTGCATTAGATATTTAGCTAAAATTATAAGTTGACTTTTTTCAAATAGTCATGTGACATTTTCGGTTCGAAGCAAGTTTTATTTAGCTGGCCTGAGAATCCATAAGGAGTAAGAACGTCTCTTTAGGTGCATGCACACGCCACATTAAGTTTCATTCATTAGCCTAGCTGTTAGCCCAGAATGAAGGATATGACCACATGCTGTCCAACTTGGTGACTGAATCCTCTGGAGCCCGTTGGCAATAATGACATACTCTCCCTCTGAGAATCATTCTTTGCTGCCTCATTTCATTTCCCATTAGATCACTCAACACATCTTCCTTTCTTCTCCCTCAGATTACGGCTTTCGACGAGCTCCAGGCTGACTTTAAGGTGCCGATCGATCAAGGCAATCCACTCCATGCGGTAGGTGTTCATTCTTTTGTCATTTTTATTCACATTTCATCACAGTGGATTTCAGTTGAGGTGAGCTGTATCACATCATGAGTTTCTGAATGCTTGAGCCATCGGCTTGTTGGCAGGGTTAGGCTTATTAGGGTTAAAATCTTGCCCTGAGAAATTGTCAAAGTGAAAATGAAGAATTCAACATTAGTCATTAGGTTACATGAAATTAAGCAAATTCCACAGAACAGGTCTAGATGATTTTTGCCAAAATTAGAGCAAATTTAGCACCATACATGCTTTCATCTTACAGGTTGGACTTTGAAGTGACGTTATGAAATGGGAAGTTAAATTAGAAACTTAATTTAATATGAGGATTGGTAAAACTACAGCCACATTACAGTAATTGGAGAAAAAATGAGTGAAATTGTTAGGGTGATTATTCAAATTTGAGAAAATGTTGCGATTACTTGTAAAAATTTCAAATCAGCTCAAAATTTCTGAATCATAAGTGACTTCGCATTAATAGTTGCGATCGTAGCATCCAAACTTCCTGGTGGGGCTGAATATCCAATCACTCTACTTATTAGAATTAGCAAAGTTCATTTAAGTTGCTAGGTTAGTACAGACCCAGCTCTAACAATACAGTTTGAATTAAAGTTGAATTAAGAGACCTCTTAGAAGCTTACCATTTGCTTGGCTTATCTATTCTTAAACCAGTTCTGATGTGTGTTTGAGATAATTGACCTTTTGGAAAACCCAACTGTGTCTGAGTGCCAACCATAGAACTGCTAATTTGAGACGAGGTTTGAGGTAACCGTACATTATTGGTAGCAAAGGAAACAAAAGTACCATGATTATCAGTTGGTGCAATGTTCTTTCTGATAGCTGAATCTGTGCACAGAAATCAAGAAATTTTAATGATGCCGACCAATTCTGCCAAGAGAAGTGATCAAATATTTGTAAAATCCACGACCAGTGGCCATTAAGATTGTGGATGCCAGATTATTGACTATCCTTTGCATACCATGCTCATTATTGTCTTGTAAGACAGTAGAGTGACAGTACAGGGAGATGACATGAAGTGAAGTAGTAGTGGGTGATTTAAACTTCTTGACTTTGGAAATTACATTACTGGGTGTTTCTGTAAGCAAAATCTCATTTTCTTCTGCTTTTTGTGTCAATTAAAAGTCACACGAGCAAGTTGTTCTACAAATCTTTTTTTGTGTCACTTCAAAAGTTTGCTTTCACCTTTAAAACTGTCTAGGAAAAATGCAGAGAGGTTATGGTTAGGAACGTAGAATAAGGCTGGCCTGCTCGTACTTCCCCTAATAAAGTTGTTTAGGATTCCGCATCTAAATTCTTCTCCTTTGAGTCTTATGGGCTTTTACTAACTCAATAATGGATCACAAAGCACCAGCAGTTAGTCTGAAGGTGACTTTGACTTAAGAGGTCTGCAAAGTACAGTTTCTGTGGCGTAATGACTTCTAGACGTCTTTGGGGATGAGCAGAAAAAGGAGCATAGAAACATTAGAGAGGGAGTAAAACTGACAGAAAAAATGGGAACTTGGGTGAACATTAAATTGAAGAAGGAAGCAGGTTGATAGGCAGAGGAAGACCTGGCTGAAGAAGGATTTTTGAAGAGGCATAACTAAATTAGTCAGCTTGAAAGGTATTTCAAAAGTCTGACAGCAGCGCATTAGACAGATTTCCCCCCCACTCAGAAGCACTTTCATATTTTGTCATATTTGCATATCATTATGCAATAGAGAACGCATCAAAGAATCCAGCAGGGGAAACGGGTACAAAAGGTTTCATCTAATTTTCCTCTGCTTGAACTTTTCTTTCCCTCTGTCTCTCAAGATTCCCGAACCCCTCCTTTCTCTGTTCCTCAGCGCTGCAGTAGGTTGAAGATGTAGCCCTGAACGTCCTAGCCCCGAAAGACGCTTTCATCAAATTGCTATTTATTGGAATTTAAATTCAAGCTTAACTTCTGTTTTATTTTCTTTCCAATATTTACACAGCTAAACTTGTATGCACAAAATAAACGAGGATGATACAATCCTACCTGGAAAACATAGACATTTATGACAACTCTTAATGCGTGTTATTGTATGTAGAAATATGAGATACACCTTTTGATTACTTTTTGTTGAAAAACATTTATTGCAACAAAAATGATTTCTGTCAATAAGTATGTTTTATCTCTCAGGTGGTAATGATAAAATGTCTCTTCAGTTGTTAGAGTGGGAAGGAGACATGTGATCTTGTTCAACATCATTTAAGATTTTCAAAATAATGTCAGAGGAAGAAAGAATAGATCTGAACTCTATCAGTGAACATACAGGATTTGGAAATATTAGCAGCCTTTATAGGACACCAACTGAATCTAATGGACATAAAACATAAAAACACTATTGTTATCCAGACAAGCATCACCTTTAAATAGTATATTTTTTCTAAATGAGTGCTGAATTTGCACTACCCGAAGTAATGCAATGGTAACTTTGTCATATTGTGATTGATAATATTTGTATCTTTGTGCCTTTTAATCCTTTGGGTGGCAGATGTAACGGTGGGACAGAAGAGGAAGCGGTTGGGTTATCCCATCAGCTCCCAAAAACCACACACAGGCACAAAAAAACTCGTAAAGAGTTTTGACTCCATTCACTCTTCAGAAACTTGAGGACCTCTATACCTTATGAACATCATCATTCACTGACCCCACTCTGTGATTTTACAAGGTCTACTCACTTTATAGCTTAGTCGCTGTCGTTCCCAAAAGCTTCTGCTAACAGCTGACCATGGAATATTCAGTAGCAAAGAGATTTTATGAAAAAAAAACTGCACAGATGGCATTTTATCTTGGAACCATGCTGGAATTCAATGAAACTAACTTTCTTTGTTTCACCACTGATGGTGGAAACAGCCTGCACGCCTGGATCCTACAAAACTGGAGTTAAGAATGGACCGAGCCACTTTTTCACTTTCATTACAGATATTTGAAGTTTAGTATCGGCCGATAATGATGCAGAAAAATAGATGAGTTGACTTAAGTAATTTATTTTTTAAAACTCTGACATAAAAAATGATCTGATAAAACTGAGCCAGTATAGAAGACTTAAAAACAGCAAAGTCTTTACAAGCTTAGTCAAATGTAAAAACAACTTAAATTATTTCAGTTAGTGTAATTAGGAAGATAACAGCTAATGGAAAAGAAATAATGAAGAAACTGATTAAAACAAAAGGTTGACTACCTTTGGTCAAACATGTAAAAATAAACTGCAACAAACCTTCTTTCAAATGATCCTTCAGTTGTTAGAGTGGGAAGGAGACATGTTATCATATTTCTAGTTCCTATTTTTCCTATTTCCTATTTCCAAGAAAATGGAAATAGGAATTTCAATGTAATGTAAAGTAATCCATGATGTCGCTCAGAGGACAAATTGTAGAATTAGAATCAATAGATCTGGCCTTATGGATTGAACACATTGTCATCAATACCTGATGTAGAATGTTTATTATTATTGTTATTATCGGAACCGATATAATGGGATCAGTGCAGCTCCAGTTATAAAGACACAGGATTCTTTGCATTCAAACGTTTTTCCTGGTGTAAGTTTGGGATGAATTTCTGGGGCAAGCACCCAGTCACAACTGCTCACTGTGTGTCCTCTGATGGATTTATGGCTGTCCTCCCAGCTTATCTTCCAGTCTTTTAAGGGAAATTGATTTCACAGCTGTTAACATCGATGGGCATCCACCAACGCTTCGTCATCAGGGCTTCATTGTCCAAGCTGGTATAAGGCAGCGCTGCTAAATTTACTCTTAAATTGCCCTGCCTGGATAAATGAAGGTCGATCTAATGTCTCCACCTCGTCTACGCTCTTCACGCTAGTTTGGAGATCAATTACTGAGCTGCATTTTGAAAGTCATTCAGCCTAACTGCCCCCTCATGACAAACAGAAATAGGCCCCATGAAAAAACTGGATGTCCATTAAAATCTTTTACAGAAACTTCAGGTCAATCAGCCTGCGTTTCCATTACAATGAGCACAAAGCTGTGGAAGTATTCCACTAATATTGGGGGAAAAAAAGCACAATTTCATAATTGCGTTTTATCCATAAAATAACATAATTAAAATCGCATGTGAATGAGCTTCTTCGTGATCCTCCCGCTACTTCCTGTCATCTTCTTCTTTGTGGTTTTCACCAGTAGCAACATCCGGTTGTTGATCTTGTGACTTCTGCAAAGCAGTTTTGTGAAATAAACACATTTCAATGTGGCTGAAAAACCACCTCATCCTAGAGGTGATGAACTCTAAGCAAATTTATTTCCAAAATAAATTTGAAAATAAATTCATTTTCATATGTCTTATTGCGTAATTAAGTGGTGAGTGGAAACGCCGCTCCAGTTTGACGCAGAACTTCCTGGTCTTGATGAAACGCTCGACATCTGCCTAGCTGACTGAAGTCCAATCTGAACAACCTCATGTCCTTATCAGCCACTTATCTTTGGATGAAGACCCTCAACTCTCATTAGTCCTCATTATCTGTTATGTTTAACGAGGCAGTTTCATCATATGGTCTCTTAGTAATGCACAGAACCTTTTTTGATATTTCTATTGGTTCAGTCAAGCATTGATTTCACTGTTTTGTTTTTAGACGTTTAATTTGCTGCTCTGCTGTGTATTGAGATGTGACTTGATGTTTGAGCCTCTCCACACAGCACCCTCCCCAATATTTGGCACAGATGGTAAAGACTTGTTAAAAGCCCTTAAATAAATGGTTGCTATGGAGACCTGGTGGCAATAAGATGCCACTTTTTTGCTGCCATCTCCTAATAGTGAGCTTTTTTTTTTTTACCTCCCTTATCTTCCCTCTAATCCTCTTTTCTAACCACTTACCTCTAATTAACCTTTTCCCTCTTTGTTTATTTTATTTATTTTTTACCCTCACCTGATGCTGATGACTGCAGCAAAATGATGCGTCTGAGATTTTTATCTTGTCTGAAAAGTTGATTGTAGCCTCGCTTCATGTTTATCAATGCAAGTGTAGAGTGTCTAGAAAATCAACCTCCTGGCTTTGATTGGTTGTTTCTGGCAGAGCGGTGCATTTCTGCAGGTGGCAGTAGAACCACTGGGAGGAGCCAGAGGAACCCAGATTTTTTCACAGATTACCTGTCTCACGTTCTACTGTCATGTCATGATGACAGTTTATCAAACATGTAAGAAATATGTTTCTCTTAATGAAACAAACTACCTTAAAAGTGGAGATTTAATGAGTACTCCCTTCTCCTGGGTTTTACTAATTTACATTAAGACATGTTGAATACAAGAAACTATTAAACATATGTTGGTGTCCATAAACTGATCCTAGTTACTTATGACGTTCACATTCTATATAAATGATTGTCTTTATTGTTTATTTTAATCCTGTTCGCTAATTTTTCTGTAAGCAGGTTTACAAATAGATGTGAACATACCCAGCCTCTGGCCGGAAGCATCTTTCTAAAGACAGAATCTGAAAGAAGCAAAATTCATAAACTCATATTCATACACAGCTCTCCGCCTAATTATATTAGCAGTTCCTTTTTCTGCATTTTAATCCTATTTTCTTGTGTTGTTCCGACGCAGCGAAGCGTTAGACACGGTTTCTTTGATGTTCTTCCACTTCTTCACGTTTCCCCCGGACCCTCTGTGGTTTGAGAACGAGGAGTTCGAAAGGTCCCACGCTCAAATGAATATATGATTCATAAGGTGGCAGATTTGTGGAGCTTTGCACGCCCCCCTGGGAAACGTGCCGCTCCGCCACTCAAAAGTCAGGTTACATTATCAATAGGAATTAGTTAATATTTTAGTGTTTTGAAAGCTCTTGTGAAATGGTGCCTGTTCACGACTTCAGCATTTTACACCTCGGCACACGAGGAGAGAGCTCTCAAGTTTTCAAATGTAACTGCTGTCCAGAGAGCAGCAGCAGCTTCAATATGTAATGTTGAACAGGATGGGGAAAAAAAATAAGGTCAGGTCAGATTATAGAGTTAAATTAAATCATTTTACTTAAAAGAGATATTTGTACTGCTTCTATCAATCAGTCAAGTTTATTTGTGTTACACATTTTAGCAGCAAAGCACTTCAAAGTGCTTTACATCATAGAAACATAAAGAATGTGATAAAACCATCATGCAGTCATCAATTGTGAAACCAGTGATGGACACATTGCCATCATCAAAGGCATCGTTACACATCAGATGTGTCGGTCAATGTTCCAGTGATTCTGAGTCAGGAGCAACTCTAAACATTCTATTCTGGTTTTAAAGGATCTCAGTGTTTCAGCTGTTTTGCAGTATTCTGGAAGTTTGTTCCAGATTTGTGGTGCATAGAAGCTGAATGCTCCTTCTCCATGTCCTGTTATTCCATATTCTGATGTTTAAATGGTAAAAATAACAGATTGTGCTTTTTATTTGGTGTAAAGGTTGAACTCTCTTTTATTTGTTGAAGCATCCGATTTAGATTTTGAACATGGAGTTTTAGATCCTTTGTTCTAAATAACAAGGTGTACTTAGTTTTTCTACTTGCTCCCTCTGCATTGTGGCTTTGCGCTTTCTTGTTTTTTTTATAAAAATAAAATTACATGCGATTCGGTGTCTTTAGACAGGTCAGAACCTCCACAGGATTCTTCTTTAACTTGTAATCATAAATATACCTGCAGTAGATAGATGCATATCATAATTATATAATTATGACATTTTCACATACAGATCCATTAAATAAAATAGAACATGACTTAAAAATCATATCTATATTTCTGGACCTTTATAGCTAACTGAAACACATTATGTAGATTAACTACACCGAGATTAATGTTTGAAAATCTTGACTTCTGTTAATTATGATAATTTTCTGCTTTCAGTAAATAAAAACGTGACTTCTAATGTTTGAATATTACATCAAACTAATAATTAAAAAAACATTTTCATACAGGAATGTAGCCATATTGAAAAGCCTACCTATTAAAAGTACTTTTAATCTGGCTAATGAGCCTCTTCTGAACAGAAGTTTAATTTGTTGAATATGTCTGTGTATGTGACGCTGCTGTTTTCACATTAACATTTTCACTAAAGGAACCTGAACATCTGGTTTCCTGTTTTATTGTTTCCTTTTACAGAGGGAGAGACTCAGAAACATCGAGAGGATCTGCAACCTGCTGAGGAAGGTAAGCTTCATATCGTTGGCATTAAGCTTCCTGCAACTCTGCCGCTCAATGATAAACTGAACATATTCAGTGTGAAATATCTTCCTATACAAGACCTCTGCAGCTCACCTCAGACTTAAGACTATTAGGAATATAATTTTATATCTATATCGCCACAGAAATGTAGGAACTTTGTCCTGACAAATGGCGATAAATGTGGACTTAGCCTACTAAAATATGTTAGTAGGCTAAGTTAGGAATGAGTTACTGTTGGCCTCAACCATCTCCAGTCACAATAGAGACGTCTGAGAAAACTCAAGCCTTTATCTTTATCTGACAGACGTCCCACGAGAAGAAAAACCTATGTAGAATATACGACTTTAAATAGTCCTGCCAAGACTAAGCCTGTTGCAGTAATCAATAAATCAATAAATTAATAAATCTCATGAGAAATTAAAACAAGCTCAATAATTTCCATTTGCATGATTAATCCTTTTTCTCTCTTTCTACTAAAAACTGGATGATAAAAGCCTTCATCTGGCACTTTGGTCTCAACTGGCCCTTTTTTTGAAGGACAATGTTGTTTTACAATTAATTTTATTTGTTGTTTATTTATTTTGTATATTTAAATGTCTTCCAGTTCGAACATTAAATGTTCATTAGAATTGAAAGGGTATTGATCTTTGAGAATGTGTTCTTGTATTATTACGTCATTTACTTTGTATTACTTGAAAATGGTCTCAAAACAGCAATATTATCGTTTATCACAATAACTTCTGACACAATTTATTGTCCAGCAAAACCTATTGTCGTCACAGGCCTAGTCAAGACAAAGTTGACGAGGGCTTTGTCTTGACATGTCACAGGTCCTTGCGATATATTAATCACAAAGTCTGTGATTAACATATTGAAGGCCAGGCATTTTAAAGGCATCATTTTGGAAACATGAATTTAAGACTTTTTAAAACTCACGGATGCACGGTCACCCTGCAGTATGTGTCAGCCATATTTTCTGAATTGCATAGCTTCCCGTCTTCCAGCAGCTTCTTATGTTTACTCCACTGAGCAGGTCTACCTTGATTTTGTGAACGCAGCGCCGACTTGCACCGAGACTCCTGCTTTGTCGTTGTGCCACATGTTAGCCTGACATCAAAGAAAAGACAGAGACTGAGAGTGAGTGTTCTCTGCAGAGCTCCTCTGTTTGTTTCTGTGCGTGTTAGCCTGGAGGACTCAGCATGATGATCCTCCCAGTTACGCTGTGACATCTGTTTCTCCCTCCACCTCGCTGAAATTCACATATTGTGTCTGAATCTGAACATCCAACTGTGTGTGTGTGTGCGTGTGTCTGTGTAATGCTTTAGGTTTATTGGCTGAGCAGCTGATGTTGGTTATCAGTGTTGTGAAGCGGAGCCCTCCAGCCATTCACCAGGCCCTGGGGAGAGTGTTTTCTCTACAGTGTTTTCAGCTATAACAAATACACACATGCACACACACCCGTGCATATGCATCCAGACACATTGTCCTTGCAGCAGTGACCTTCTGGGATCAGTTTAGGTGACAGTAGATGTGCTGCCCCAAGTGTACTCAAGGAAAATACCAACAAGATTAGAATTTATGTATTTATTAAGGCCATGGGAGATTTTTCATTTTTTTCTTTTTTTGTGGAAAAATCAGAGAGAATCATAAGATTTGAGAGAAAAATAAAAAAGATAACATCAAATCTGAAGGTAAAAATAATCAATCAGCCAATCAAGTTTATTTGTACAGCATATTTCAGCAACCCGGCCGTTCAAAGAGCTTTACATCGATTTGTGAAAACATAAAAAACCTCAGAAAAACATCAGATAGTCAACAGTTGTGAAAACTGATAAACATTACATTTTGTTAAGTGCTTGGCAGACCTGTGAGGACACTGATCAATGAGGCCAAAGATAAAAGCATGGATGAGTTTCTCTACATCTTGCCGACACATTAGTTCTTTAATCCTGTAAATGTTGCTTAGATGATAGAAGGCTGACTTTGTAATTGTCTTTATGTGCCTCTGAATGTTCAGGTCAGAGTCCATCACTACACTCTGATTTCAGGTCTGCTCTCGTTTCCAGCTATAGAAACGGAAGCTGCCAGCTGTCGTCTTCGTCTCATGTCCAACAACACATTTGCTGTGAATTTGCGCTACATAGATAAACTGAACTGAATGACGTCTAAATCTGCACCAGGACGTTTACTGCTCGATTCATGGCTCACAGCCCTGCTAGGAATTTTGCTGTTAAGTTCCTTGTTGGAGAACATCGAGTTGTGCAAAAAAACCTGAAACACTGAACAGATGGACGTTCATTCAAAAGTTTAGAGAAGGGCAAATAAAGGTCACTTGTAAAGGTCAGAGTGCATTTATCTTGAAATTTCACCTGACAGCTTTCTAATTGTAGCTTTCTTTGACAGATGGAACAGCAGCTATGGTTTTCCTTGTTTCATTGAAGTAAACTCATAACAGAAGCAGCTCTACATGCCACAGAATGAGCAGTAAAGCTGGTTTGTATGTGCGGACAGGATATAAAACCTCATGATTTTAATGGTCTATCATGAGATGGATGACGTGTCTTTTACTAAAGACTTATAGGACTAATCAAACCAGATCGTGCCTTTTGCGGTTCATCTTCTCTGTGAGTCTGTCGGTACAGATGTTGGCGCTGCCTTTGGAGAAATGCTGAAGGTGTTTCTCCATCCCTTTTTCTCGATCTTCTCTGTCCTCCATTGAATCATTCATTTCATTTCCCTCCAGCTGGCACAGCGGCATCACGCAGGTTCCGACTGATTCAGTTAAAAGCTTTGGCTGCGCCTCTCTGTGCTGGCGTACCTGCCACAGACACAGCGGCATATGGACTAGCCGTGTGTTCTCTGTGGACTGTGTGGGAATGGCTGCACCGTGCATGCCAGTGATAACAGCCGGAGGGGATTCTCTCCTGTCTTTAGTTTCTCCTGTGCGCCCGTGTTCATTAGATGTGCAGTCCCGCAGCTTGAGGCGATGAGGTTGGGTTGTCACAGCAACCGAATGAACTTCAGACTACCAATTAACTTCTCGTTCCTCCCTTTATTTCTGGATCTATGTTCTCCGTATTTACCCCTCCTCCCTGCCTCTCTATGTATAGCACAGAGTTGTTGTTTGATGCCAATGTCTTAAATCACCATCCTGCCTATTGTCACGCTTTGGAGGTGCTTCATAATTAACTATGAATGTTAGATATGTAACTCTGACAAGCCAAGATATGCATGCGGTTTGATATTCTAATGCAGTTTCCTGGCATTGGTGCTAACTGTGGTATTGTCAGTGCCAATGGGATGCCACAGGGACCTGAACTCACATAGCTTTAAAATGTTTGCAAGTTGAAAATGACTTTTCTTTCTGCTCCAATTATATACTGCAACTAACAATTATTTTAGTACTTGAATATTCTTTCAATTCTGCTGCTGATTAATCGGCACATTTTGTCAATTTTTATTTTTCATTTTTTTTATTGAATCACTTAAACTTTTTTATATGATGTAGATATGCATTAAAATAATCAAATGAACAAATCATTCAATTACTATTTTGAATAAAAGTTAATTGGATACATCAGCACTAACATTAGTATCGACTGATGGTCATTTTTTTAACATTTCGGTATCGGTCTGATAAAGAAAATCTGGGTTGATATTAACTACTGATTTTTAATTCCAATGTTGCCATTTGTTTCTGGAGGGGAGGAGCCCGTGCTTTACCATTGGTCATGTGACAGTGACTCAGAGAGGCAGTTTTGGCCAGCTCTGGTAATTTATTTTCAACTTCAGTCCATTGTTGAAAGTTATAGATTTGATAAGCCTTATAATATTTTAAACGTACCAACAAAATATAGTTTTTTTTCCCTATCAATTGGTGAAAAACCAGAATTAAACATTTGCAAATTAAATTTACAGGTTTTTCTTCCTTCAGAATGGATGAATGCAGATGTACACAAATAAACATTTCACACTAAAACCTATCTTAATGCCAATTATGAGATTTTTAAGCAAAAGGAAACTGCTAGTTGTTGATAAACGACCGTGTGTAACTGTTTATGAGTCCTCATCTATGAGTCCTTCATGCAGAAACACTGTAAGTTTCCCGTCACTCACTATAATGAGCTTATATGCAAAGCACAGCGATGCCTTCATCCCGCTTGCTGCTACCAGGAGAAGAAGACCTGCATGGCAGAAAAGGAATGGGGAGGAGGCGAGAGATAAGGAGGAAAGAGAGAGATGAAATGAAGAGAGAGAACCAGGGGCAGCAGAGGAGGACGGTGAAAAAGAACAAGAGATGGGGGGGAGGGGCACCTCTCCTTTGCAGAGAAAATAGAAACCACTGTTTTGCTCAGCAGGAAATTAATATTAATGTTGTTCTGCAGGAAGGACAAGAAAAACCCAAATTTTTACACTTTTTTTTTTGCCATTATGCGCATGATGAGTGTTTTGGACATTCATTGGGGACGTTCAATTCTTAAAAATATCTTTGGAGAGCTGAAGCAGATTGTATGCTGTGTAGCTGAACTCTTCTGTGATTTCAGCATACAGAGGAGTTCAGGTTGACCTGGTAGAAAAGTGTGTCTGTTCAGTAATGCTAAAAATCTCCACTTTCTCCATAGAATTAAAGGTGTCCTACGTCAGAGGTGGTGCGATCATTTTGCTGTAAATCACACTTACTGTGGAAACTGATGCCAGTAGACTCAGGTTTCATTCACATTGGCCCTGTTTAGTCTACTTTAATGCGACTCTAGTTCGTTTGCCTGTAAAGTCCGATTTGTTTGGAGAGGTGTGGTAGAGGTGTGTAACTGAACTCTACAGTGTAAACCAAAAAGTGGTTCTTGGAGCAGTGTCACCACAGGAGAGGAAGTGAACAAGTTCTACTGCTGGGTTCTTGCTTAGGTTAGTATTGTAGTTGATTAGTATGCTAACAATTATTAGTATTCTCAGCTATTAGCAATGCATCTAAGGTACAACTTGTATAT